GGCTCCGAGAAGGGTTAATAGTAGTACAGTAATAATTTACACAGAACTCCACAACGAACAGTTCACCAAATGAGGACAGCTCTTCAAGGATTTTTAAGACCTCACAAGTTTTGCTGCAAATTGATCCAAATACTGGACACAGAAGATGGGATTCATGCAGAGTGGTGATAACTTATTTACGTCGATTGCTAAACAGCCAGCCACAGAAAATAGTCCTAAAAACAATCGTTTGGCTCCCTCATTGGCCTAAGGCAAGGCCAATGTGAGAGGATCTTTTAGTGCAGAGAGGTGTTGCTACGCAATTCTTTTCCCAGTCACTTCCCAGCCTGTATTTCCTGATGATGTCGTACACTTGGAAATGTCATTTCTGTTACAATGCTGAAGTACAGCAATCTTAAAAGTGCTATATGGTTTACTAACTATATGTTACAGATAGCCTACCATTAGAAGCTGAAATCTGCTAGTGTTCTAGAAATGGAGTTCAGGCAGACTTTTGTATCCCTGAGGTTTCCTGGTTCCTTTCCGACTCCCCTCCCGTCCAGATGATGTAAGGCTTGACTTGATATGACATGTGACAGTGACAGGAACTGAGACTTTCTGTGGAGAGACCTCCATTATCCAAGGTGTAGTTCTTTTTTCATCTGGGCTTGTGAAGGAGCCAAGTTTAGCATGACGGCAGCTTCCCTGTCTGAAGGTTTCAATGTATGTGTTAAAGAGCAAAACAAGGAAGCAAACAAGGAGCTTTGGAACTGAAGCCCAAGCAAGAATTTGTGAATATGTGATTTTTTAAAAAAAGTTTATGTTCCTCTAAGATACTATTGTCGTTGTTGTTGTTTAGTTGTTAAGTCGTGTCCAACTCTTCATGACCCCATGGACCAGAGCATGCCAGGCCCTCCTGTCTTTCACTACCTCCTGGAGTTTGGTCAAATTCTAAGATACTAGAAAAAGGAAAATGGAAGTTTGTGGCATGGTGAGATTTCTTGATTGGAAGATTTTCATTAGGCATGTAATTAACAACAAATTCTTCAGAAGAGAAGCACAAGCTAGTTGTCTTTTAAAAATATTTTAGAATTATTTTGAAATGGCTACAAATTTTCAAGAAGTTTTCTTTAAGCAGGAGAGGTTTCCAGAATAGTGATTTTTAAAAAACCCACCAAGGTCTGAACAGAAACTTCAGGAAATCCTGTGTTTGCAATTAATTGTAATCAAGAAAGAGAGAGAATTCTGACTCATTTGCAGGAGCTCTGACTGAACAGACTTACGAATGAAGTTTGTGCTTAATTCCTGAAGGCAACTAAAAAAAGAAAGAAAGGGAAAAAAAGAAGGCAAGCAAATGCAAACTATTGGAGGTGAGAAATGCTCCTGTTATGAGAATCAGACTCTTTCAGCACTTAAGGATTTCCTTCTTCTAATGACATTCTCTCTGTAATGTATGGTTTGATTGTTAGTCATTAGTCCAGTGATGCACCACGGAAAACACATGCTTCAGCAGTGTGTTATACGCACACTCAAATCACACACATTAGAATGACAAATTCATATGTAAGGACCTTGCATTGGTAATTTGTTTTTAAACAACAAACATTACCTTGAATATTAGGGTTCCTGGTGCCTTGTCACTTTACTTCAGTCTTCATGAGGGACTGAATCAACTCTAAGCTTACCAGGTTGGCATACACTGTCATTCTTAAATTTGAACCTAGTAAGAAAACTGAGATGATCCAGGAACATAATTTTTCACCTATAAATCAACTGAGTGGCCCTATTTCAGTGCTATTAAAAGAGGGATGAGGAACATATACCTGCTATAGGTAGCAGAATTCTAGTCCCACATTAGTCCTTTTTTGTGTGTGGCAGGTATTCTGGGAACTGTTGTGTTCATCGCTGGCACAGAGACCTCAGGTATTACAGAAGGTTAGTTTATTGTTACATTCTCATAACATTCTCCATGACATCCAATCAAAAATGAGCAAGCACCGAGGCACCCATGGAAAAATACAACGCCCACCAAAACCCCAGGCAAGGTTGAAGCACAAGGAGGAAGCCATTTACAGTCCTTCCTGCCCAAAGGCCAATCTGGGTGGGTGAGGTCACAATGGTGATTCCTTCCAGTGAGGAAGAGGCTCCAAGTTGTTTTAATGATAATAACTTGTCACATGGGGCACAGTTACAAAACAACAGAACTAAAGATTCCTGGCTGGAGCCCGAGCAGATCTTGACACACCTTGAAGGCAAAGGACCAATCTAAGCCATTTTTTCTACCATGAGGTGAAGATGCCTCTCCCTTTTCACCAGGTGAACTGATAGTTGAACCTTATTTCAAAACTTGTATTGGGGCAGCATCTCCCACCACCACCAGAGCACACTAGACTGGTTCAGAGGGTTCAGAACAAGCTTGTGGCATGCAGAATTCGGTTTGCCAGCAACTCACTGCCAAGTAGCATCTTTTGCTTTGCTTTTTTCCCTGATGACTTTTTTATGCAGTGGCCACCCTACCCCTAGCATCTGCTGCCTGAGATAGCCAGCTAACTGCCTGATTGGGGCTACAGCCTGGTTGTTTTATCATTCTGCTAATTAAGCATTTATTTTGGGTAAAACTGAAGAGGTACACAGGGCAAAATCCTATTGATGAGTTATTCTGGTATACTGTAATTGTGTAAACTCCAGGAGTGAATTGCCACTAGATAACAAGTTGCCACATGTTTCCCTCATTATCTCACACAACTGATTCCAATGGCACAATGAGCACATGGGCAAAACCTGGCCCTATTTTCCTTTTTTAAAAAAACCCATGTGCTATAATTTTTTTCAACACAGCTGGGAACTTAGTATGACTGACTGTGCTGATGAATCATTATGAGGTAACGATTATTACACTTTACAACCTGCTGGGGCAAGTTCCACATTCCATTGTGATGATTCAGACAAACATTTAGATTTACTTATTTCCTTGGATTAAGTTGGTGATAGCCAGGAGCACTTTCCATGAACTCTACCTGGAATGAGAGTTGTTCTTTTCTCTCTGATTCAGGCCCAGCTGCTATCATTAATGCTACCGAAACTTTGAAGCACAACTGCTTGAAATGGTTTATTTATAGGAATAAATAGCTTTTTGGAAGCTACAGCTTTGGCAAGATCTTCAAACAGAGACTGGCCATCAGTAACACTTTATAAAAGATGTCCTGAAACTGCACTGCTTTCCCATTGCTCTGTAGGCGTGATTCAGGATACAGAGACAAAATTAGTTACTAGATTTCTCACTCATGATGCGTCTCAAAACTGAAACCTTTATGGCAAGCAAAGGACGTCATGGTACAAATAACTGCCTGAGTGGAAAGTATGTGAGACACTATTTCTACTCCTATGTTCCATTGCAGATTCTTATTTGCATTTTTTTTTTACTATTTACATACTTATCCTGTCTTTTCTCCAGTGAGTGTAAGGCAGTGTGTGTGGCTTCCCATCTTTCTATTATATCCTCAGAACAGTCTTGTGAGGTAAGTTAGGCTGAAAAGAAAGTAACTGGCCCAAGGTCACCCAATGAATGTCATGACTTAGTGGGGGAACGGGAACTAGAAACCCGAGTCAAGCACTCTAATCACTACACCACGCTGATTCTCATGATGGCGTTTTATTGAACTTCATGTGACACAATGAGATATTTTAGTCTGTCCAGAGTTACGCTTTTTGTTACAGGATCTGCCCTGGACTAGACTGAAGAGTGAAGTCATTATGTAGCATTGCTTCCTCAGCTGTGATAAACAATGTCCTCAGATTTCAAGCAATTGTTCTCTCTCTCTCTCTCTCTCTCTCTCTCTCTCTCTGTGTGTGTGTCTGTGTGCATGTTTAATAGGGAGAAGACACAAAATGAGCACAATCATTTCAATAGATCTATTATGTTTGTTGCCATTGGGTTACTTTTTGTCCCAGCTATTTTGGTATGGTCAGGGTGGCCTCTTACTTTATCAACTTAAATAATAAGCCTATGGCACTCTTCTCTGAAACAGGTGTGGCAGTACACAAGAAAGAGATTATTTTATTCCCTTGGTAAAAAGATGAATAGGGATAAAACCACATTTGACACTATTTTTCAGCAAACTTGGGTACTGAGGAGCAAAAGTAATACTGTATACTCTAGTTGGCAGAAGGCCGGTCCCATCCAGAGGGATACTAGAATTCTAATTAGATTCAGGAAAGGCAAGCTGTCAGGATAGCTCACCAAGTAAGAACACCGGACTGTGAAGGCAGGGGTTGGAAATTCAATTCCCCAATGTGCTCTGTAGAAGAGCCAACCTGTGTAGATGTGGGAAGCTGCACAGTTCCAAAGCTACCCCACAAGAAGGGAATGGTAAGCCAGTTCTGAGTACTCTATACCTAGAAAACCCTGAGAATCAACAGCACACAATTATTATATTGTTCAGAAAATATAAGAAATATACATTAGACCTCCATCCCTATGTCTAACTGTAATCTTTAATACATTGGAATTCTCATGGGATCAACAATATACTCAGTGGAAGACTTTGTACATAATGGGGATATTAATCATGTACCAATAATTCAGTTCTGAGCTATGCTGACCCTTTTCAGGGTTTTCCAGGTAGATAATACTCAGAAGTATTTTATAATTCTCTTTTGATAGGGGGGGTGCCCCGGGACTGTGCAGCTTGCCTAAGGCCACATAGGCTGGCTGTACTCACAGGAGGCATAGTGGGGAATCAAACTCCCAACCTCTGTCTCCACAGACAGACACTTAAACCACTGAGATCATACCATGTTTTTTTTAATTTTTAAAAAGCAAGAATAGTTTGATTTTATTCATTCTGATGAGTGGGTTGATGGTATACTTGCTATGGGTACTTAGAAAAAGGGGAGATAGGATGCTATGCAGACAGACACTTTGAATATTTTTTGTTATTCTCTTCTCAGACCCATTTTGCCATGTTATTCCCAGTGTCTCTTAAATGCTTTTCTCTTCGATTCCTGTTTTTGCTTTGCAGCTGTCTGGGAAGAGAACTCAGCTTATGCTAACTGTATGCCCACACAACGCAGCATGAGATGTCCAAGCTGGTACTTCGTCACCTTGATCATTACTTTAATTGTCAGCTTGGCACTTGTTTCTTTTGTAATAATCTTAATTGGTAAGTAAACACATCTTAGTTCTTTGAATATTGACTGTGAGGGAAGGAGTGGCTGAAAAGTAATGACGTACTACACATTTTATAACATGCTCATATCTTTATGTGTGGCATTGCAATAAAATAATGGAATAACTATGCACAACTTTAATAAGGAAGTCCTTTTGTAAAGAGCTTTGTGAATCACTAAAAAGCTGGCTTTCTCCTTAGTGATTATCTGAAAGCCTACCATAAAGTTAACATTGGCTTGTTTCCTAGCTGGTATGAACAGGAACAGGTGGTTTATATGTAATCTGATTGCCTTATCTCTGGCGTTTGAAAGGTAGTTTATATGAAGAGAGTCAGGTAATGTAATCTGATTGCCTTATCTCTGGCGTTTATAGGGACATGGTGCAGGGTCAGAAGGGTTTACGTAAGGTGGGGGACAATTTCCATGAAAGATTTAGAAAACGCTGTTTGGCAGCTTTGCCTCATATATACTATTCTTTCAACTTTTGCTTTTCTGCTATCTCCCACTCAGTCACAGTTCTTCTTTCTACCTTCTATCTCTGTTTCTCATCTGTTTTTATTTTGGGTTTACTTGAGGTGGGGGACAATTTCCATGAAAGATTTAACTCTCATAACCAAAACACGTGCAGAATGGGTTATGGGTGCTTTTTGACCCCAGTGAGAATTCCAATTTTTTAAAGCATTATTTGGCCAGCATACCCCAAATCCCCCAAATTTTCTGTCCCTGATACAGTTAGTGCTTGATACACTGTTACCTTCAGATACCCAATTCCTGCCTTCATCTCTGCCCCTTCCTCTTCATGCCACCTGCAACATGTTGCTTCATCCTGCTTCATGACATGTCCAGTGCTGCTTATTTAACTTGCTATATCATGGCCTACATTTAATTTGACAGTGTATTAGTTTCAGCATTACTTTCCTTTCTCTTGTAGTTCACACTGGAGACAAGATAGATGAAGTGTCAAGAAAAATTGTGATAGAAAGGAAGAGCATTGAAGATCTTAAGACATTTAATGACATGATTTTACAGTACCTCAACCAGTCTGAACTGATGGAGAACATAGGAAACCTTAGCACAGTGCAAACCAGAAAACCAAGTCCTGATTTTCCAGGCTATTGATGGAAACATGTTCAGCTGAAAGACTCAGAATAATGGACCATTCTGGGCTTAAGATGTATTCTGAGGTGGTTCCTCTACTTTCCAATATTTTCTTTGCAGCCATTTTTAATTCACAATCCTTGAGGCTCCATGATTTTTAAAGCATGTTTAATTTCTACAACAATAAGCTTTTCTGGCATCTTATACAATGAGTTTTTGCTAATTCTGCAGCTATTGATAAGTGGGAATTAGATGGGCATGAACCGCACTTTGTTGATTTGGCCCGATTTGGTGCGGTGTCCACACAGGGCATTGCGTGATTCCCTTCCCTGCCTCATTTGCCTCCTCACAGGCAGCAGCACTCTTCCCTCTCCCATCTCCTCTGGTGGCCAGCCTCTCAATGGCAGTGGTGCACAATTCCCTCCTCTGACAACTGCCCACTAGTGGATCATGAGAACATTGCAAAGGATTATTTCACAGAATTGTAGATTTGGTTAATATCCCAAAGATCATTTAGCCCAGCCATTCTCACCCTTTTTTGGCCACAGACATAAGCACAATGTAAAAGAAATATAAACCAAATCAAAATTGTATAGGTCACATAATGAATTGCATAAAGTAGTGTGTGAAGAATTGTTCCCAGTCTTTGTCCCCCTGCATATGTGTCAAGACCCCCCAGGGGGCTATCTGACCCCCGCTGAGAATGGCTGATCTCGCCTAACCCACCACTGATACAGGAAATGCAAAGCCAGCGTATGTCTGTCAGATGGGCATCCAATCTTGTTGTGATTGTTGTCAAACAACCAGTGGAATAAGATGAAACTGGACTTCTGTCAGAGATAATGTCAGTTGGGTGTCAAACATGAACAATATCCACTGAGAAATGTGATAATGGAAATAACATCAAACAATACTAATTTTTTATCAGTTGTGACTACAGTGGGGTCTCGATTTACGAATGGCTCGACATACGAACGTTTCGACTTACGAACCACTCTCATAGGAATATATGGACTCGACTTACGAACTTAGATTTGAGTTACGAACTCTTTTTTCCCTTTTTTTAAAAGCTAAGTCATCTTAGGTTAAAAGGAAAAAAATATCCCCCTCTAGTGGCAGAAGGCAGAATAGCAGCTTCCCATTAGTTTCTATGGACGAAAAGAGCAGATACGGATTAAATGGTTTTCAATGCATTCCTATGGGAAATGCAGATTCGACTTAAGAACTTTTCGACCTGAGAACTGCCTTCCAATATGGATTAAGTTCGTAAGTCGAGACCCCACTGTAATCTGTTCATTGCCACATGACATAATGGTTCCACACAAACATTTCCAACCCCATACACTACATTTGGCAGAAACCCTCTTCCCTCAGCAACTATTTTAAATAAACAGTTCTTTTCAGTGATGGTAAGAAAGAAGTCTGGGGCCCTGAACTGGCCCTGAGTCAGACCAGGGGCACACTTCCTTTTTGGAGCCACGTGTCAACTTTTCCTTTAAAATAGAAACAAACATTAAATTCTTTCTTAATAAAGTATGTGTATTGTTTCTTAATTATTTAAAGTACATATCCTGCACTTTAATCCTGAAGCACCTTACAAAAGTAAATAATATGCCAGTCCCTGCTCTCTGGTTTACCATAAGACATGACACAAAACAATAAAGGAAAGGGAGGGGTGGGGGGAAAGAGAAAAAGTTGGTTTGGGTTGCCGATTTTACAATGACCAGCTGGAGAGAAACAAGGGAGATTGCTGGAACAGCTGTTGCTAGGTAACAGCTGAGGGGAAGCAGTGGGTCTACTAGCTGAGGTGGAAGGTTTCCACCACTGTTCTTTTTAACCAGTAGTCTGGCCCTCATTTACCAGCTGTCTCTTTCCATGGGTCATTGTCACCACTGTGACGGTTTGAGATCTTAATCAAAGAGGGCAAGTGGCAAGGTCATTAGGACATAATAAATATTCCTTATTTTCGAGGTGTACGTCTACATCTGTTTTTAAAAACAAAAAATAAAACTGTAAACTTTTGCATTCACAGCTGTGCAACTGGCTTTATCACAATTACACATTCACTTCAATTTAAGATATAGATTGGAAATGACTGGGGGCAACTCAGTTTACACCCAAGAAGACACATGTCTTTATGTGGCGAAGAGTACAGAGAGGGACCCCCTCAGGTCTTCTATAGACTGTCTTTTACTTGCTCTCGCATGTACTGGCCTTCCCTCAACCTTCAATTGCTATTCTTAGGTTTGTTGATGTCACTTTCTTCCTTCTTGGGCCTTTTTCTTGTCCCTCCAAGGAGGACACCTCTTGCCTTTGTTCTCTGTAGATGACAGAAACACTCATGGCTCCTGACATTTCCAACTTACTTAGTGAGAACTAGGACTTGTATCACCTTTCATATCACAAGTGTATTTCTTTAATTTCTTTAATACACAAGTACATTTCTTTACAAGCTTTCTTGTATTTATTAGAGAAATGTGATTCCTTTACAAAAAGGAAGTGTGCTCAGCTAGTTGTTCCTACCATATTTTTCCATTTATAAGATGACCCAATGCATAAGACGACCCCCCCTTTTCTAACCCAAAATTAGAAAAAGCAGGGATCAAAGGGCTCCCCTTTTGCTAAGCCCCACGCCTTGGCAAAAGGCAAGGAAAGCAGCTGTCAAAGTGACTGGCGCTTTTCCTTGCCTTTTGAGAAGGCGCGGAGCTTAACAAAAAGGAACGGAGCAACACCCCCTTCTTTTTGCTAAACCACGTGTCTTCGTAAAAGGTAGTGGTAAAGAGCTGTCTTCCATGTATAAAACGACCCTCAATTTTTTCTGAAATTATTTAAGGAAAAAGTGTCATTTTATACATGGAAAAATATGGTATTTTCAAAGGAGTGAATCCACAAGTTAATGCTGCTGCTGTACTGCAGCATGCTTGCTCTCCAACATATAAGAGCTAGTAACAAATGGAAGGAAATACTACACCATGTTCCAAGAATATGAATATTTTTGAACAATAGTGGTTTTTTGCCTGTTCAGTCTCTACCACTGCAATAAACTTTAAGGGCAAATTAAACCTCTTCTGTTTCTCTTTCTGCCCCATCCTCCAGCATTCCAAAATCTGTGGCAGTGGTTTGGAATTAAAGTTTTAATTTTCTACTCTAATGTTGGTTGTTAGTGGCTCCACTTTTGAGGGTGCTGTGAATCCACTCTCAATTTTAATTTACACTTTACAGGAGCGATCTCTGTGGCTGAAATCCATTCTCTCCCCCCCCCCCCCAGCACCTTGAGTGACTCCTGTAAAGAGTGATCTAAATCTGGAGTGGAACCACAGCACCTCTGAAACTGGCATCACCAGCCACCACTGCATTGGGGAATAAATGCATTGCTGTTTGGGGATCAGAGGATTCATCACTGAGATGTACTTACTTTTCTAGGAAATCTAGCAGAGAAAAAAAAATAGAGATTCTTACTTTCCAGAGTGGCTTAATTTATATACAGTAAAATGTGAATCAGAATTTGGAAATATGTGGTCCATCAGATATTGTTGGATTCTCATCTGCTTCAATCTGTGTGGAACATGATGGTCAGAGATCTCACATAGAGAACTACCTGCATTAAACAATATGTTTAATAATTACCAATTTATTGCCTTTTCATGTATCCCAAAGTCTCTGCCTGTCTCTGTCACAGTCCCAGTCTACCTAATGACAGGGCCAGCCTTATTCTGAAATATACGTGGCAAATCATGGCAGCTGAACAATTGCACAATCAATATTTTCTTTTCTTTTCTCTCTTCTCTTCTCTTCTCCCTTTAATTTGCCAGCTAGAAAATCAGATGCTTAACAGTCCAGCTCTGGCATGACTACAGTCAGTGCTTCCTGCCAAAAGAGAAGAGAAGTAGGCAGGCAACATTTTACAGGCTTCAATTCACATAAATTAAGCAGACTCCTTGAGCTGGATCTTTATAACAGAATATTCATGAAAAGTTTTGAGTTATAAAGGAATGAATCATAAACAACTACAGAATCAGCCCCAGGGCTTTTAATTCAGAAAAAAAGATTTACAGAACTCTATATTTCTTAATTCCTTGCTACTTAATTTTAGCTAATTGTCCCCTATTTGAGAGGCACTTCATGGTATACAGCTTTAAAGTCTTGAATAGCAATGAGCTTACTCCAGAAGAAGGAGGCACACATCTGTGCTACTAGTTTATCATTCTGAAGAATGGAACAATCTTACAGATGGGCAAAAAGGAAATTTCAACAGCTATAAATAATTATGGTTTCTTCTGTTTCCCAATTATGCACTCTTCTTATCAATCTTGTGTTCTGTTTTGTTTACATCTAGAATATAGTTTACTAGCAAAGTGACAAGGCATCCTTTTCTAAGCTTCTCTACCCTCATGCTGGGTTTTGCTCTTACAAAAGCAGAAATCCAGCACTAGATACAGTACATTAGGCAGAACTTGGTTTCCTCCTAAAATTATTGTGGCTGCGCATATTGACGTTAAAAGTCTAACCTACTCAAACAAGAATTACAAGTTTGTTAATTTAATATGCTTTTAAATGTTTGTATTTTTGCTACAAATGGAGCAATAAGCTGCAGAGCCAGAAGTAACCTAGTTTTTGCTAGGAAAGGGTGACTGTTGAAAAGAGAAGAATCCAACAACAGTACAATGAAACAAAGAATGGTATTGTACATTCTGAACATAAGTCCTCCTCCACAGTGTCAAGCAGACACAGGAAGTGCTCTCTTTCAATCCCCCCCTCTCTTTTCTAAAGAAAAAAGAGTTGAATAAAACAAAGTAGATCCAAGATTCACCAAATACTAATTTGGCTTCATAAAACATTGAGTTATTATCTGAATTTTTGCTTCTTCCTCGCCTTCATTTTTATCATCTGCAACAACCACGAAACTGACATGCTGTCTGGTCAATTTCTACCATTCTAGGTTTTTTCAGATATACAGTAGAGTACTCAGAAATGCTTCACCTGCTTACCTCTGGTGGCACTCTGGAATCTTGCAGCTTGCCCAAAGCCTCTCAGGTGAAAGGACATGTACATCTTACTGGCTATACATGCCATAGGTAATCTCAGTCAACCCCCATCCCAGGAGGCACAATGAGGATTCAAACACTCACCCCCTGGCTCCACAGGTCTCCTCATCTTTATGGGTGGTTAAAAATGGAACTTTTCCATAATTGTATAATTCCAAATGATGACCAGTTTTGTATTTATTTTATTTTGAATGTTTATATATGTATACATGGCTGAAGTGGCAAACCCCCTGGGAGGGTATTCCAGAGATGCATGGGGGTCAGTGACCATAAGGCTGTTCTCCTGATAGCAATTGGTCATACCATTGTGAGGAATGGCATCCAGTGAAGACCCTTATTTCCCATTTTCCTGAACCAAATACCTTCTATATTTTGCAACATGTGAGCAAGTCCAACAGCAAGTCCTAAGTGTGCTCAGAAATCAGAGCAGACTGGGAAGGCCAAACAACTAAGAGGAATATTTTGTTTTGCACATTTTATTCATCATTTTGAAATAGAATATTTTGCACTCCAAAATATAACTGTGTTCCTCAGATTTTGGGGGAGGGGGGAAATGGCAAAATTTGACCACATCCAAAAGTATTTTCTCCCCCCACCCCCTGTGCATTGGCACAGCTTCTTTTTAAAATCTTGAGTGGTATTCCAGGCTTTTCACTACCAGTTCCAGTCACTGATGGTTGTGAAAATGAGCACCTTCATATTTCTGTCATTGGCACTCATGAAAATTATAGCTGTTGAACTGTAAAATCCTATGCACACTGTAATGTGTACCATTAAGGGAGGAAGGATACCTGATGGTAGCCAAAATTATTCAAAATTGGTGAGATAAGCTTTTAAGAAATTTTCCCAAGTGACATGAAATGGCCTTTTGCATCTGCTTCATCCCATGTATGAATGTCAACACTGAGTAAGAGCCAAAGGGCTCCTTTGGAAACTCAAGAGAC